ACTAGTCAATATAAGATTTCAAGCGATGTGTAAGGTAACTTAGTCGTGCTGAAGTGAAGAAACCTCATCATCCAGTTAATACTAGATTTCGACCAAGCATTCTCTAAATAATGCAAGAGTGAAATTCCTTAACAAGATAAACATTAAACAACAAATGACTAGCGAGTTCTTTCCCTCTTATCCATAGCAAGTATAAGTTTGGGAACATTTTGACCCCAAGGGAATTACGGTGAGCAAAGAAAAAATAGATATACACAATTATACGTTATCGGAAATCTATAATGTGTAGGAAACTACATGTGCAAGCACAAACCATAGGTAGCATACAACAAATTAGAAGGAAGTAATCTTATTCTGTATCTTTTACCAAGTTGTTGATCATGTTTACCAAAGGAAGAGTTCCCTTTGCCATAATCTCTAACCTAGATGTATTAGAAGCATAAGAAAATAGAGACAATCCAAAAAATAAGAGCTCAGGAAGAAACAGTCTTGATGACAAGAATCCATGCCAGTAATGGGGTTCCAGATCAAAAAACGCATCAAAAAATCTCCTTGTGCCTGGTAAATCAAGCTTGAGTAAGATGTCCATACCAAAACAGAAGAACTCCCTTTGTCGTCTCCTTTCAATAGGCCATAAATCTTTCCACACTTGTGCAGATATTTCAGCTCCTGAAAGGCCTCTATCAGAACCAAGGCACTGAACAATAGAATTAGCAACAATAGGAGCTGCAGCCAGGGTCCTTGCCACCATATAGCCAGTTGAAGGATGCACCATCCCAGCGGTGCCACCAATGCCAACGACTCTTTGGGGGAGAACTGGGAGAGGGCCACCCATTGGAATCACACAGTGCTCATCTTCTTCAATGCTTTTCACTCTAATACCCAAATGTTTCAACCTAGCAACCATTCTTTCCTGTATATCATCCATTCGTAAACCAGGGCGTGCTACAAGAGAAGTTTCTTCAAGAAATATCTTGGTGGATGAAAAGGGCATTGCATACAGAAAGGTGGGGATGTTACCATTTCTCTGCTTCAGCTCCATGTCATTGTCCAGATGAGAATCTCTCCAGTCCATAAAAAGCATTTTATCTACATCAAAAGGGTGTTCATCAACCTCAGCCAAAATCCCATAAGCAACTTGGTAACCTGGATTATACGGTTTATCATACTGAACAAGGCACCTTGAAAATCCAGTTGCATCTAGAACCACAGTAGCCTGAACAGTTACACCATCATTACAAATGAGCAAGGATTTGGCATCCTCATGAATAACCTTGATAACTTTAGCTTGGTGAAACTTCACACCATTTGATATGCATTTCTGCAGCATCTTGGACTTCAGCAGCTTCCTATTGACCCTGCCATAAGGCCTGTCAAGATGCTTCTTGGTCTTGTCGTCGATGAAGACAACGGCGCCAGACCAAGTGGTGTCAAGGCAATCAAGCAAATCCATGGCCTCAAACTCATCCACCCAAACACCATAATTGTTGGGCCAAATCAATCTGGGGTTTGGATCAATGGCACAAACAGAAAGCCCTGCCTCAGAAACCTGCTGTGCAACTGCAAGCCCAGCGGGACCCCCTCCCACAACTGCAAGATCCACCACTGCCCCCTTTGAGGAATCATACAAAGGAAGCTCAAAATCCAGATTCTCCTTCTTAAATTCAGGAACAAGCTCCAATAGGGCACTACTACTAGCCCTCAAATTACCACATGTACCCCACCTCACATGTGGCTTCTTTGAACCAAACCTAAGCTCCTGATTTTGCAACCTAGAAGAACCTAAATTGCTCAATTTTTCCGAGTAACCGTGAAGTGGGTGCAAAAACTCAAGCTTGTTAGGTGTTTTGAGCAAAGTATCCATAATTGATAAGTAGTATCATATAAATCGCCAATATTGCTATTGAATCTCCAAACAAATACTCAAAACACCATCTGGGTCGCACTAAATAACACACAGCAAGAAAAAAAGTTGTCAACTTTGCACAGTTACATGAACAGGGAAGGTACAAAATGGAATTGCAATAATCACATGAAGGAGCAATTATTTTTCATGCTTACCGTGGAGTAGAGGAAGGGAAGAAAAAGAAACATTGCAACAATTCACATGCAGAAGCTAAGGAACACCATAGAACATTGGTTTTGGCGCTTTGGTAATGGTAAAGCTCGTGTGGCCATTAGCCACTCCTCGTCAGCGACAATCCAAAGTGGATCAGTTTTTTTTTCTTTGATTGTGGAAAAAAAGAAAATTGAATCATGTCCAGTGGCCACCATACGGTCCATACCCTACAGTTACAGATGCCATATGGTAATTGGTTCACCGTCAACATCGTAATTAATTATACAGTTTTTCTTGTTCTTATCTGAGGAGATATATTTGATTGTTAAGAACTAGAATTAATGTAGATGAGATTAGTGAAGGCTTACTTATTAATCCAGATGTAACTGTTTTTTGGTATACCGCATACGGACGTTGTCGTGTTTATTTAGAAAAAAAATGTTTTGTTAATGCTAGTGTAATTTAATTTAATACTATTACATTCAACAATTCATGTACATGATATTCTTAACGATATTTATTAAATATGTGTTGGGGTTTTATCTTTAGATATGTATATATATAAAAGGGCATTCAGGAGAAATATAAAATCTTTTAAATAGAGTTTAATACCTTAAGTTTGAGAGATTAATCTCCAATTGTCACCTAATACTTCGGATTAGAAAAAAAATCATGTAAATGCATGACCTTTTACTTATAATATTTTGTTTAATTATAAATTATTACGAACATTTTATATATTTATTTAAGATTAAATATATTTTTAAGTTTCTATACTTTTTGTCAAATTTTTTTAATATCTAAACACTTTTTTTTTTTATATTTAGTTTTAGTTATTGAAGTTTTTTTTATGAATAATTTTTTTAGTTAAAAACTAAAATACTAATTTGAAAAATAATTTAAGAACTAAAAATAAAAATAAGGAAATAAAATTAGTAAAAAAAATTATTCAGAAACCAAATATAAAAAATTGACAAAAAAGTTTAGAAATTAAAAACATAAGAATGTTTGAAATTAATACTTTTCTTAATATTTTTAGGATGCATACCGAGTTCAATACTGTAGAGTTTGTATGATTTTTAAAACCATAAACTAGAACAAATGCAAGAAGATTTAGTGCCTCTGTTCCATAAACTTCCAAATTGATTTCAGTGGCTAGTGAGTAGTGTATGCAAACAAGAGAAAAGGGCCACTTGCTCGAGTTCCTCCCATTATATGCTTTTAAGTTTTAAGGGTTTCGTGTTCATCCACTTTACGTCCCCTCTTTATTTTTATCTTTATCAAGTATGGCAAGTCTTGGATGGTTGTGCTTTTTGTGTGGGGCATGGTATCGTCAGAACATCCACTTATCTTTTTTTTTTTTTTGTCTGTTAAAACTTCTGACGATGCATGAAATAAGGTTCATTAAAATATGTTTGGTAAAAAATCTCAATATAGGATGATGTTAGGCAATAGGCAGCAACCCACTCTCATGTTCTAGGCTTAAAATCTTTTGGTATTGGGTTGACAATTCTGATTAAAAATCTTCATCTCATAGTGAAACATTACATTAGAAGAGTCAAAGACCTCTCTCAAGCTAATCAATTTTCTGCACCAGGCCTGACCAGCCCAATTTGTTGGTAGGACCACTCATTCTTTAGAATTTAGAAAATGAAAACAACTTAAGGCCTCGAGGGTAAGTAAATATCATGGGTAATCAAAACAGTTAGATACTGATCTACTAGATCAAAAGATTGAACTGGTAAATTATTAATTAAATAGCATCATTTAGTTTTTATTATTTTTTTTTAAAAAAAATCAATTTATATATATTTTATATTTATAAATTTTAATAAAATTTATATCATATTTTAAAGAGGTATCTAAAAAAATTTGTAGTAAATATAATAATAACGGAACAATTACATTATCGACCCTTTAAATTGTATAAATTAATATATAAATTTAAATTAAAAATTTATTATATAAATTATTTAAATTAATTATATAATAATAGATTATGTTGATTTAGTAATCACTAATATATTAAATAATTATGTTCATAAAAAATCATTTGCTTTAATATTAAAGTATTTATATATATATATATATTAATAATTATTTTATGATCATCAGTTTCTAGTTTAACTGAATGTGTATTTGATTTTGCATAATATTTTACATAATCATAAATAATATTAATTAATGTGAATTTCTTCTTCTCTTCTCCTCTCTTCTCCTTCCTTACCCCCCGCTCCTCTCTCTATATATTTATGATATGGAAATTTGATTAATAAAAAAAATTCTTCAGAAACTAAATATAATAAAACATCATATTAAATATGAAATATTTATTTATTTATGAAAATAATAAAATTTTCATTTAAAATACTAATTAATTTATTATGGAATTTCAATTTAAATTATTTCCATTTTAAATTATTCATTATTTCATTTATTATTTATCTATTTTTTTAATTATATTCTAAATTAAAAATATATATTCACCAGAAAAGAATTAAAAAACAATATGACGAGATTATGATGGCACAATTTTAAATAGAAGACTATTGGGAAAAAAAATAAAGTTTGAAATCAACTATTAGCTTTCATTTAAATACGAAATGCCCTTAAACTATTTTTATATTAAACTGTTCATTCATTATCGTACTATTTATTTATTTACACTAATTAATATCATTTAGGTAGACAAAAATTGAAGATGAACGATGAATTTAATATGACTCTTAATTTGACTTAAAAATGTTATGTTCATTTATATAAATAGAAAAAAAAACCATATTTTTTTTGTTAATCTTTTCTCATAAATAAAATTTAAAATAAAAATAAGTTGATTTTTTTAAAATTTATCTAAAATGAACATTTCCCTCTTATTATGGTGATTTTTTTTTTAATTAAGTGGAGTGTATTAAAAATTAATTGGAAATTGAATCTCATAATAATACAGTATGGAATAATAAATATAAATTGAGGTAGCAGAGACAAAATCCGTAGCATAGCAATTGCAACACAACTAACGGCGGCGATGGGTGATTCATCGGAGGATTTCTCGGTGGTGGTGTTGGCCTCCGACCTCGGCGTCGATGCACGACCCTTCCTACAACATGATCAACAACAAGAAGAAGAAAATTGGCACGATTGTTCCCAATACCTTTCCCCCGACGAGGACTTCTCCGATCTCGATCTCTTGCAATTCCTCCGCTTCCAAGGCTCCGACAAAAACTCCAGTCCCATTCTCCGTATCGTCGGCAAGTACTTTCCCGGTAATCCCATTGCTCCTTCACCTCAATTAATTCATTAATTAATCACTGTACATGATGTTATGAACTAATTAATTCGCTAATTATTCACCATTCATGAGGTTATGAACTCTTCTTAGGGTTTCTTCTGAATCACTGTCATGTACTAACCCTAATATTGAAAGGGAAAAGAAAGAACTAAAAGCCCTAGGTCTCAAACAATGAATGAAAATTAAGAATTAAAGCCCTGGTTATAAAAATCTGTATCGTGTCTCTATGAGAAGCTGTTTTGCAATTTGAATTAATGTCTGATGGGTAAACTTTTTTAGAAGCGAGAAAAATCAAAATAATCTTCTTTATAAACTAGTGAAACTAGCTTATGTACAAGCTAAAAATAAGATTTTGGAGAAGTTAAATAGAAATGAGTTTTTACAAATTAACTTGTACATCAACTAATTTTAGCTGATGAAAAAACTTTTTTATCCAAACAAACTTATGCTTTTATTCTATTGATTTGGGACTGAAGTGCTTTTAAATGGTGTGCAGCGACTGTTGTGAGTGCAGAGCGGCTGAAGAAGTATGTGTTACACAAAATTTGCAGTGAGTTGCAGGAAGGGCCGTTCTGTATTGTTTACATGCACAGCACTGTTCAGAAGGAGGATAATTCCCCTGGCTTAACCATCTTAAGGTGGATTTATGAAGAACTTCCAGATGATTTCAAGGACAGGCTTCAAACTGTGTATTTCGTCCATCCTGGTCTTCGTTCCCGGCTTGTCATCGCCACTCTTGGCCGGTTTTTCTTGAGTGGGGGGTAATTCATCTTTTGACTCTTGACAGAAATGAGCATTGAAGAGCATTCTACTTAGTACTACCATTTAATCAACTTGCAGTAGCTATGATTTTCATCAAGATGGATTGTTTGAAAATCACGATGAAATATTAGCTAACGTAATTTTTGGTGAATGTTCTCATGTTTAGTCTTGTATTGAGAGATTGATTCCGAGTCTGAAATTAGGTTTGAATTGAAGCATCTTTATGTGGCCGTAATGTTGGATAATACATTTATATTGGATTTTACTACTAACTTGAGTTTAGAATGAAAAACAAACATAAATCAGTTCACTTCGAAATCAATTTTACAAAATCAATTCCGTTTAAGATCCATTTTGCAAATGCTCACCTAAACACATACTATGTTGGTTGACCTGGTGAATCATTGCCTGCATTTAATTCTTTTTTGATTGTTGGTGCTAACTTGAGTTTAGAATAAAAACATCCAAACATAAACATTTCACTTCAAAATCAATTCTTTTGAGATTAATTATGCGTAGGCTCACTGACCAAAACACTCGTAGTTGGTTGATCCAATGTATCATTTTCTGCATTTAATTCTTTTTTATTGTTGGTGCTGTTTCTTAACTTTGTTCTTGGTTTAGGTTATATTGGAAGATCAAGTATGTTAGCCGGCTTCAGTACCTTTGGGATGATATCAAGAAAGGAGAGATTGAGATACCAGATTTTGTGAAAAGTCACGATGATATTCTGGAGAATAGACCCCTCACAGATTATGGCATTGAACCTGACCCCTTTCACTTAACTGGGATGCCTTCATCTACCTTTTCATTTGGAAAGTACGAGGATAGATGGGCCGCAAGAGAATATGTATCTTAGTTAGGTATTCCCTAGTCTGGTCACATAATGAATGCCAACATCTGTACAGAATGGCTCTGGTATTGTATTTGTATTTCTCAGACTCATCTTTTAGTTTCTCTGTTTGTTGATTTAAACTTGGTATATGACATCAACTACATGTTTTCCATGCCAAGAGAAACTTATTCAGTGGATTAATATATGAAAATGTTCTAACTACTAGGTCATGTTGAAGTGCTTGTATATTGTTCTCCCGTTTGGTGTTGTATATATTGTTCTCCTGTTTGGCATTGTTAGTTGTGTGCTGTGCACGATTATTTATCACTTCCTTCCCAAGAGCTTTTGAAAATAAAAAACATGCAGCTGGTATTAATGCATCCGGTTTGGCAGGACATTATTAATAGATGCTATTTGTTTTTATTGTTAATCATGTAAAGGGTTTAACAACTTCTTTGATGAGTAATTTTTGTTAAGCAACTTGATTGATAACTTTTACTAGAGTTTCTTTTTCAAACTACAATTTTTAAACCTACAAAACTTAAATGTAAAACTTTTCTTAAAAAAATAAAGTTGGATTTCACTTGAACTAACAATTTATTTGTCGGTAATAGGTGCATCTTCTTGAGTGGTCGCCGACTAACCTCAACCATGTTCAAAGAAACTACTGAATTTCATTATATAGAAATAACATTACTTTTTAAAAAAATATAAATATTGGACTCCACTATTTATAATTAATATTACTTTTTATAAAAGTATTACTATCGAACATATAATGTTATATATATATATATTATGTTTTTTTTAATATTTATAAAATACTTTTTTTTTTCGATTATAATCATTTCTAGTATTACAGGTTTGTTAAGTCATAAATATATTGGCCTTTTCAAAGATAGGACTAATAACATCTTAGCAGATAACTTTATCAGCTTATTTAAAGTTAGGTCTGTGGGTCTATTTAAAACCTTAATATAAAATAAATCCTTTAATAGATTAATAGGATAGGTAAACATACATAATGGTTAAGGAAAAAGGGTTCTATAATAGGCTAGCTCATATACACGTAATAATAATAATAATAAAAAAGCATCATAATATACTTAGAACAAATTTATGCTATAAGATTATAAAACATGTTAGACTCAAAAAAATAAAACCTAACTTGTCCAAATTTAACTCCTATTTACTACAATTCAAAGTGCACACGACAATTCAACACAACGGGCTCTCATCTTTTTACTTGAAATATCAATATTAATCGGCGTTTTCCAGCCCGTCAAAGTTGAAACATGCTATTTATTTTTCTTTTTTATATTTCAACACAATATTTATTAACAACTGTATCGGAGCGATCATGATTTTTTATTATATTTTTGTTTTGTATTATTTTTTGTTTTATTTAAATGTATTTATAATAATATTGATAATATTTTTTTTTACAAAATACTAAAATAATTCAATTTTTAAATAGAAATGTCATTATAAAAGAATAATATTTTCAATTTAAACCCACGATACAGAGAAGAATAATTAAATATCGATCTTATGTTATTTTAAAAATTATGTGTTTTTAGTCTTTAATTTTTTTTTAAAAATGTTTTTAGTCTTTGAAGATTTTTTTTTTACTGATTTTGTAATTTTTGTTAATTTTCATTTTTAGTTCTTAATTTTTTTTTCCTATCAACATTTTAATCGTAAACATCAAACCCTTTTGTTCATAAAAAGAATTCGAAGAACTAAAATTAAATAAAATTTGTTTAGGAACTAATAACATAAATTAACAAAAGAAAATTATAGATTAAAAACACGTTTAATCTTTATTTCAATAATATATAAACGATTGAAAAAAAAACTCACCAAGTGAGGGGCTCTTTTGACCCATCAATAGAGAATTCACGTTAAACTATAATTTATATTGAACACGTATTTGAAAATAAGATAAGAATTTTTAAGAAGATGAAAAGTCCCATAATTATATAAACATTTTTTTTATTTATATAAAGTTTTCTTTCTCATGTAATGAAAACACTTACTCTATAATTTGTATTTAAATACATTATTATATAAAAAATTCATCCTGTAATAATAAAAAATATTTGCCACTGTAACTTAAATATTAATATATTTTTTTTAATGTTTTCATTGAATATGTAAATATTTATTCTTATAATTTTAACCTAGTATTTTAAGAGAGTCTCACGTTATAAATGTTTTTATAGTCTTTTGGTGATTAAGGGCTCGTTTGGATTGTCTGAGCATAAGGTTGCCTAAGCCGTAAATTAGGAGGATTTACAAGTTTCAACCTTAAAGTCGCGTTACACAAAATGGCTCAACTATAAAATTGATTTCGGAATTAAAAAAATGGAACCGTACTCATTCACAATTGAAATGAATTAGATTAAAAATTTTGTAACGTCGTGGGTCCTCTTGTCTTTTATCATCTGTCTGTTCATTATTAAGATACTTTTTTTTTCTCTCACAAACTTAAAAATCTTTATAATGTTAACAAAAGAAATGACATTATAAAAATAAATAACGACATATGCTAAAAAGCTTTAAAATGTAAATATATAGATTAAAAAATATATTTAAAATTAGAGAACTAAACATACTAATAAAGATAAATACAAGAATTAAAATTGTTTATTTTAAATTATAAAGACTAAAAGGTAAAATAAGTAAAACTATTAAGATTAAAAAAATACTTTAACTTTAAAATAAAATGATGGGTCAAATATGTTTTTAATCTTTTAAAAATGGACTCTATTTGATTTTAGTTTCTCTATTTTTTTTAACTTTAAATCCTCTAAATTTATATAATATATATTTTTAGTTCTTTTTAAATATTGTTAACTTTTGTTGTTAAAATAGATTACTTTAACATTTAAAACACCGTTAGTTTTATCAACATGATTTTTTTTAATTAAAAATATTAATTATTTTAAAATTAAGTTAAAATTTAAAATAAAAACTAATTTTACATTTAAATTAATTTTATGAGTATGCTAACTATGGTAGGTCGTTACAACTTATGTAAATAATAAATATTTTATTCTTTCATAAGATACTTGTTTGTTTAGTTTTAGCAGGCTTTTGATTTTTATGTTGTTGTGGATCAGTACTCATTTCTTACTTTGCATTCCCTCATTGTTGGTTACCTCCTTTCATGAATGTGAAGGTTGGGAAAGGAATTGTATTTATTGCAAAATGTAGAGTGCAGAGGTCTCAGGCTTTGCTCCATAGTCTGTTGTCTTTGTTTACAAGAAATCAAGACAATGGCCTTGTGAATTAAAAAACAATAGATGCTACTTTAAACCATCTTTAAGTTCGAAGTGTTTGTGCTATTTATATAGTAATATTGGCTCCATGTCTTGTTTGTCATTAGTCTTTTCCTTGAATTAAAGAATTTTCAGAATTTGCTTGTGTGCTTGGTTATTTGGGTTCTACTTCACACTATTCTCATTCCTGAATATTTTTCCATGATCTCTTCTTTCTTCGACTCTATACTTTAACGGCTCCTTTAACAATATTTCATAGAGAAATTCAAGTCTTTTTATATCCTTATAGTTACAGTATAATTATATGCTTGGATGAGAGTTGTATAAAATAATTGTAATTTTCATCAACGTCCAACATCTGACCCCCATTACTTTTCTCATTGATCCGTTAAATTATCACAGTTTCTGCTATTCTTCTTTTAGAGTTCAAAATTGGATTTCTAATTTGCCTTTATACTACTACAGATCCAAGGAAGTTAGTTGTTCATTATCTAGCATGTTACATTTGTGTTTGCGAAAATTGTATGGAGAGGTTGATGTTGTTAATTTTGTTGTTGGCAGGGAGTGTTAAGTCCCTAATCAGCTTGCCCTGCTTTATGTCACATGAAAGCATACCTGCCTCAGTTCGTGTGGCCAGGGGTTTAACTCAAGATCATGTGCTTATATCTTGAAGCAACTCTTTATTGAACAATCTTCGTCATATTGCAAGAATTAAACTTTGTTCCATCATTCTAGATAAAATCTAAAACTACTGACCAGGTCACAAACAAATGGCATAATTTGAATACCAAGAAGGAAATATATATGCCTAAGATTAAACAATATAGAGCTCGTTGTTAATTGCAAATGAAAATTTATGAAAATACCAAACAGAAAAGAAAAGCCAAGGAATCTACTTTTATTGAGAATAGATTATCAGTAAAATAGATAGGTATATATTACAACATGATTACAGGGTAAGATAGTAATAATACAACATATGCTAGGTGAAAACCACTAAAGTCAAATGCTAACAACCTAGGAAAGAAACAGTAACACTGTAACAGTGGTTTCTAATACGTCAATATAGCTCTCTAGCCAATAGATATAGTTCAGCAGCATTCTTCACAAAGCCAGCAGCAACACAGAGCAAAGAGGCTGCATCATCAATAAGAATTGCAACAGGAAAAAATAAATATTAGTGTTTATGCAAATAAATTTGTTTAGAAGCTCTCTGGTTGGATTGAGCTGATCTAAGCCATTTCTAATCTCTAGTATTCTAGTCAATATAGTTTGTGGTGCATATAGAAACCTTTCTCCATATGTATTAACTTACTAAATAACAGTAGGTTTTGATATCATCATATAATTTTGGACCGAACTCAGCTTTACAAAATCTTAAAAGATGTGAATTATCTTCCATTTATATATATATATATTTGCTTATTTGAGGTGGGATTTGAATTTTTTCCAATATTTTTTAGTGTAGGATAGCATACATGAGTAGCATATTATGTGTGTATTAATAATCACTATGCAATTCACTAGATGCTTACCATCCCTCAATGAAGCCCCTCTCTCCTTTCTTCTTTGAGCTAAAAAATAACTTTCTTCTGGCGGGGGGATTCTCAGTTGGGTAACCTGAAATCATAGGACAATGAAAAGTAAGTTATGTAAGATCTTAAAATTAAGTAGGTTGTTTTTGGAATTTGTTAGAGAGATGTGCTATGTGTTGGGGAACCTGGGGGAGGCTGGTTTCCCTGAGTTTCTGGCTTCTGCATTTTGGAGAATGAAAAGGTGAGTTGTAAAATATCTTTGAGAAGGTCAATGTAGTGCCTGATTGCACCTGGATCAAGGTTTATGTGTCTGTATTGAATGATACTGTAATAGTGATCTTATACTTGTCAAAGGATGTGCATATATGCCTCATGAAGTGACACTATATATAAACGCACCTTGTGAGTAAGCTTTTCTCGAAGCTACCTTCAACTTTTGGATTATAGCACATTTTCTTTTTTGAGAATTCAGTAGGCGTATACAGTTGCTGAAAAATATTTTGCCAGCGCAAACCAATTAGATACTTGTATTATTTTTAGTATAAAAGCCAATTAACATACTATACATTATCTGTGATCTGATAAAAACCTTTATACTTTTTAGTGTATACATTATTTATTTATTGTTAATATAAAAACATTTATCTTTTGAAGGTCGGTTGGCTACCCGTTCACACAGTCATTTGTGAACTTGACTGCGGAGAGATTGTTTATATAAAGTTTTGAAATCCTTGGAGGCTTTCCATGTAACTTTTTAGTTTTCACTTCATCTTTGTGGTTCATAGTTGGATTCATAATAGAAAAAAAAAAAAAAGAGAGAGAGAGCAGAGAAACATGTTGAAAGTCAAATCGGATTTTTCACTCCATTAGATCAAGAAACAAAATAAAAGTAGCCCTTTTTTTCTGATTCTTAATTTGGATCCTTTACTTAGTCCATAGAACAAGAAAAAGCAGTGAAGAACTAGTTATAGAAGAATAAAGGCACATAAAAAGGCCTAATAGACGTGATATAGGCTTACTTTGTCAAACATTTTATACTTATTTGCGTATCAAACCCACTTAGATAGACAATCAATTTTTGTGAAGAATATATTCTTCACATGGATTGGGAAGAATTCTTTTACTTCGTCTTTAGGATTAAATTTTCTGTGGGCAGAATATGTCAATAATGAAGCCATTATGTTTGGATTTAATTGGTGGAGGGATCAATTGATATGGAATGGATTAGCACCATGTAACATCATTTACAGTGCAGATGTAATGCACACGTCTGCATATTCAGTTCCTACAAATTTCTTCTTGTTTTTAACATTTATGTAGTATAATACGTACAAGATCCTTAACTTAACAGAGTAGTTATAGGTAGGATAATTAAATTTGAACTTGTAGTATCTTTTTATGTCAATTATTTATGTAAAGAATTCGCTTTAATTATGTTTGGGTTTAGATTTTTCTCCTTTTACAAAAAGGGATTAGAGTCAAGTTTGAAGATGTAAATTATTATTAAGAGATTATTTAACAACCCGAGTTCAATTAAAGAGCAAAGGAGTTCCTTGTACATCTACATGTGTGTTATGTGAGATTAACATGAAAAAGTGTTGACAGACATTTATAATCTGTTTAACTAAGAGTATTATTGAAAATGAAGAGTATTTTTTTATTATAAAAAATTCTTAAAAATACTTATAAACTTATATTCAAATATACTTTTATTACATATCCTTTGAGTATAACTATTAACTTGCTAGACAAAGTTGCAACTTCGGGAGATTATTTAACCTTTATTGCATATTACTCATAGCTTTTCTGATCCTTTCTCTAGAATATAGCTACGAGAGCCAAATTGGTGATAACAATTTAGAGTTTATGAAAAAGGAGAAATGAAAGAGATTTGGTAGTGCTGGAGGATCGGACAAAAGCACAATGTTAAGCCAAATAATAGTAGCACATTGATGCAACTTTTTTCAATTGACAACAAAGACACAGCTTTGGGAATGTGCATTTGGGATGAGAGAGGAAATTCTTTTATGGCCAAAAACTGCTCGGATAAATACTGTATTACATGTTCATGGAGGAGAAGCTATTGGTTTATTGCAAGCCATTCATTGGATCATTGAAATGGATTTGAAAAATGTCATCTTTGAAATGGATTGTAAATTGGTGGTAGATGGAATACTTTATGTCTTTATCTAAAAGTTTGATGTTTCTGAATTTGGTATTATTCTTGTGGATTGTAAGCAACTACTCACTTTAATTCCAAACTCAGGAAAATGTAGTTGATCACTCCCTTGCAAGAGACTTTTACATCAAAGGCAAGTCCATTATGCTCCAAATTTAAAATATATTTGTCTATAACTTTTTTTCTTGTTACCTATTTGTCTATACCTTTATTGTTACATATTTGTCTTCATTGAAGTGAATTAAATTTAAAATATTTTATCTATAATTTTTTTTTAAAAAATGAAATAATATCAATCATTATATTGTGAATTGGGCTAAGATCTTTCAAGATTTCAAATTGATTAGAATAAGAATAAACATGATTAGAAAAAAAGATCATACTAAAAATGATAAATCATATTTTCAAACATATTAGTTATTAATAAAATTATTGATTACTTTACGTATATTAATATATACTATTGTAAAAGACAAAATGATGCGTTGTTCATTTTAGATTAGTTGGATTCAACGTTTATATAGTCTATATATGTCACGAATCACGATACACCACTTTAGATATATGTTATATTGTCACTAAGTATAATGATTGAAATTGTTTTAAAAATTCTAAAATTTGTAAAGACTGAAAACAATAAATTCATTTTGGAAAACTATAACTGAATAAGTCGAGTTTATAAAGAATTAAAACATATTTTAACTCAAAAATATTTTTGTATATAAAATATATATAAAAAAAGAAGTTTTGACATATATAACATTTGTCATTGGAATATTGATAAAGGTCAAGTCACCTAATAACAAGATCCGAGCTCGAATTTGACAAGTTCTATTGCAAATCAATATTTTGTGAAATAAATATTTGGATATTTGATTAGGACTTATTCTAATAATTTTTTTCTTTTGATTTGAGTTTATAGCAAGAGTGGTAAGATTTCCTTGCCTATTGTTTTACACATTCTCCATTTAATTTTTTTTAAAAATTCGTTTGACAATAATTGAACTTACTTACTTTTCTTAAGCATTACCATGAGTATCTCTTATAGTTTTAGTGACCGTAATTGAGACTAACTTTCATAAATAAATAGGACCTAATTATCTTTATCTCAATTTATTAAACCTTATCTAATGTATCTACATTTGTATAACTGGGTAGTAAGTGGCCCACTTATGATATTATGGGTTAGAGGTTAAGTGGACTGGGTGGTATAAAGCCCAACTTAGTGCTTCTGAGTTCTGACATTGGCGGAGGAGAAGAATGTTTAGTCCTCATACATTTGTTTTATTTATCTATCCATTCTCGAACATCTTTTTTTAAATAAAAAAAATTACTCTAGATGGAGAAATTACTCTAAAGCAATCAAATTGGGTCATTCTCACCCATAGTTTTATTTATTATAGCCAAAATCTAAACTATTAACATTATAAATAACAATTATAATTATATCTTATATTTTAATGCACCTTTTACTTTAAAATAGTAATCCAAATCTTGTGGATAAAAAAGAAATGCTGGTAAATAAATTAAACATTTATAATTTTGGTATAAAAAAGCATGGAAAATAGAAAATAGATAGTAGAATAGAAGTAAGTATCTGAATCTGACTTAGAATCTGAATGGCATGTGCGCGTGTCTCCTTGTCTTGTGACTTTTTCAGGCGTGTCAAGGGAGATGAATCCAGTCTTCCTGCAAACTAGTAACTTGTAAAGCACGCAAGACTCACATACTAACAAATTTTGTTTCATCACCCACCTCTTACATTACATCAACTATCTTATCTAAACAATTGCCTAACTTCTTACAATTTTGCACAACCCAATCAATTCTTTCATGCGCCTGCCTCTTTCATCAAGTGAGAGCATTGTCCAGTGTTAATATCATAGTTAAGTTAATTATATTATTGTATAATTTAAATTAAATTATGACTTGTTTTAGTGTTTTTTTTCTTCTTCAAAGTCCTATAATTCCCATCAATCTTGTTATTGAGACCATTCGATGCTTTCTTTGTTCTTACATGATTCGGGAAAAATTAATTATGACAAAAGCCAACTTTGACTGTTGTGTTTGAAGGTATGCAATAAATATTAAGCTGTTACTTTTTCTTAGTTCTAAGTATGATTACTATTTCATCCAAATTTGATCTCGTCATTAGTCATTGCACTATTGAAATCAGGAGATATGCTATTCAAATTCTAATTTGCAAGAGATGAAAAGGAAAATGTGTTTGATAGGGACTATTGATGTGTGCGATGTGGGTGATTGATTTAAGATTTGGTTTCTAACAAACTTTGACTCTTAATTCATTCTTCAAGGGATGCTGCCGAGATTGATAATTGCCATCTATATTAACATTTTGTAGTGGTTGAGGAGCAATTACGTGATATTTCTTATGTTGTTGAGCTATCCTTGTGTTTAAGGTTTACATTAGTAGAATAAAAGAAAAAAAAAATATAAAGTACACACATAGTATTTTATTGGTTAGAAGATTTTTTAATGATAATAAAAATAAAATCATAAAAGAAGCAGATAATATTTTATTATTGTAGACTTGTGTATAAATAATAGACAAAATAACTCTAATAATATCATAGCCAATGATCGAATTCAATGAACAACTAATAACTCATGTATACAAACAACAATAATGTTAACAACAACACTATAGATATTGTTGGTTGGATTTGATTGTACAACCAATAATCCCATAATATATATATATATATATAATGACAGATGTCGTTGAATGAGATTTTTCGGATACAAACAAGATTCAACATCTTGTTAATATAATAATAAAAAAAAGAATTTATAAAGCATGTGTATTTCATTGATTAGAGACTTTTTGGGTGGTGATTAAAGCAAAATCATGAAGGTGTAAATTCAAAGTGAATAATATTTTATTGTTGTGGAGTTGTGTGCAAATAACTTGTAAAAAACAATATATATAACTTTCCTCTTCATAAATATAACAAACAAACAAACCTATACAAAATAACCTTAATAATAGTTAACCGTTGGTTGGATATGATGGTAAATAATAACACATACATACAAACAACAACAATACAAATATCATTAGTTAGATTCGATGGCAATCAATAACCTCATAACAAACAAACAAAAATATAATAGCATATTCTATTAAATGAGAAGTTATGTCTTTTTTTTTTTTATTTAGGGTAGGATAGTTG